ACACGTCAGTCAAATATTTAGTCTTTTTTTTTCTTTATTTAGTAATTTTATTGTTGATAAAATGGGGAATAGAATAAACCTATGAATCCAAATTTATGATACATACAGGTACATGTTGTCTTCAGAACTATTCAGTATATTTCTTCGACCCCTTTCAATCTGGCTTCCGTCCACTCCACAGTACTGAAACTGCCCTTGTAAAGGTAATCAGTGACCTTTTGCTCTCTGGTGATTCTGGCTCTCTCTTTTCTCATATTTCTAGACCTCATTTCACCTTTGAAAGCTATTGTCATTATGTAGGTGTCACAGGCGTTGCTCCCTCTTGGTTTCCCACCTATCTCTTTGAGAGACAGTTCTATATCTCAGTGCATACTTTTCAGTTGCCTATACTGTCTCTTTGAAGTAAGGTGTTCCTCAAGGATCTGTTCTCAGGCCGTTACTATTCTTATCTATATACTACTGGTTTCAGCTACCACTGTTATGCAACAGAGCCAACGTTGCAGAACACACCAAAAAAAAAACGAAAGCAATGCTCTTTTCATGGGTCTACCTGCTAATTCCATTGCAAGCTACAATATATTCAAATATTCTGCAGCCAGAATACTCACCCACACCATTCTGAATGCTATTTGTGCATCTGTTACATTAATAAAATCATGTGCAGTCCACCCTGATGGTAATAATAATTTCTGTTCACAAAAATGTCTGCTGTTTTATTTTATTGTCAAAGATAGAATTTTGGTCATGAAATGGAGAATCGAAATCCATCCATCCATTCATTTTCCAAACTTTGTGGTCCCACGAGTAGGACAGAGAGGGAGGTTGTGACCAGAGATGGTCTTATTATTGGGAGATACAAGGTTCTACTATTGGAGAAAGTGTAATTGTCAGCTTGAATCATGTGTACCTTGATAACACAAAATCATGTGTGCCTCTTCAAACAGCCAGTCAATCCCTGTTTGAAGATGCCACAGAAATCATTGAGAAGTACCGTAAACTGACCTGTCGCAAAATTGTCAGCGACTTCTCTTATAAAACAGTATTTTTTTCCAGTGTAAACTCTAAAAATAGATCAATCCAAAAAGTTTCATGGCAAACATTCAACACAATATTAGCGGTAGATTAGCGGTAGGTGGTTGAGTCATAAAAGCTTGTATAGGCTTGCCTCCAAGTTGCTTTGGTTGTGGCATTGAAGAGCCACACGTTGTTGTCTAATGTGATAAACCATGGTTGCATCCAAAATCGCAAATGCTGAAGTGCATAACCAATTCTAGATAACCAGTTGACAGTCGTATTTAATCTTTTCTAGACAAACCATAGCTGTGTCCGAAAGCTGAAAAATGCTGCCTTTGGAGAATGCAATCCAAGCAAGGCACGTCCAAATCCAATGTCAGCTTCACTTCCTGTCTCCTGAGATGCCTTCATCTGATCGATTTTTGAAGGCAGCGCAGATGTATATGCCCATGACATCCCGCAATCCTGTGCATTCCCACAATTTCATGACAGTTGAGCTAACAAATAAAAATGGTGTTGCGATTGGTGGTCAGTGTGTAAATGGTTTTTCACCAAATTTTTCCACTTTAAGAAGTCATTTCCAACAAGTTAGTATTAAAGTTATTAAATATTCACTTAGTTATCACCAAAGCTCTTTCTATTTTGTTGTAGATCTTTAGTGTGTTTGTAATAAATGTCAAACTAGCATTTAACGCTATTACAGTTACAATTTTCAAAACTCTTTGCAACAAAAATCTCAAACTGATCACACTTGTAACACTGCTATTCAATCTTTCAAAACCTGATCTTATGCTTTCATTCAAGTTATGCGTATTTCAATCCACATAATCTTTAGATTAATTTCAAAACAAAAACTCTTTGTAATATGTAATGAGAACAGTTTAGTACTTAAAAAAAAACAAACAGTTAATTCAACAGCAAACAAGCAGGCGAGTACATTGTAAACTGTGGGAGGTCAGTTACTTCAACAGTAAATATGACCGGCATTGAGTTTACTGGCATTGGGTGGGGAGAATACTGTGTTATTGTTTTTTCTTTCATTCTTCTTGTAGATTCATTGAAACCACAAATCTGCCCCTGAGCTGGGAAAGTCTGAGGGGAGAGAGAGTTGCCCACCGCACCACTGAAGATTCTTGATTTTGTTGGTTTTAGCCTATACTGTCAATGACTACCACTGATGCATATACGCTAAAGAAAAGACAATCTAAGAAGTCTGTCAAGAGTCTTGATTTTCAAAATGTTCAAAATTACTGCTTAGATTTAAACTTTTTCTTATTAGATTTGACTCTGACTCACAGAATGCCTTTCAGTTCTACGAGTCTTTTCTGATCCCATAAAAATAAAATTAAAATTAAAATTCAATTTTCTGTGACTTCTCTTATGACACTGTATATTTTTGTATACATTGTGATATCCACATAGTGTTTAAACACACTGGAAATGAATAGACAGGTTGTCAGTTTATGGTGATGAGCTGTTTACTCAC